TTATTTATATTAAAAAAAGAATATAAAGAAGGGAAAGACGATGTGGAGAAAAAGAATTCGGTTGGAAAAAAAGGGAAGGAGGTGAAAAAAAGAGGGGTATTCAACTAGGGTTTTTAGGTTTAGTTATAGGTCGGGCCGGGCTGTTTTGGCAAATCCCGAGCCCGGCTCGAATTTATTGCGGGCCGGGCTTTTTGGCCCAAGGTTAAGCCCGCGGACCTATATACCTGTTCAAGCCCGTCCGGGGGTCGGGCCGGGCCGGGCCGGCCCGTCGGGCCACCCGGCCCATGAACAGGTCTAGCTAGTAGTTTCCGCCATATATGGCTGAATGTAGGGGTGTTAATGGACTAGTTTTGGGTTAGACCCTGTCCAAACCAAAATCAATTTGGATGGATTGGATGGACCAACCGACCAACAAGACATATTGAATTGGACCAGTCCCAACTTAATGGTCCAAAGTATTTATTGGATTGGATTGGATTGGATTGGACCTCGTCCATTCATAATGAATTTATATTGGATTGGGTTGGATTGAACCAATATCTAGTCCATTGATAGAAGATAAGAATATAGGTCCAAATGATCCAAAATATTCATTGAAGAAGAAGAGTTACGAAAGAGAATAGGGTGTTACTGTTCACACCCACAATATTTCATTATATATTAAGTCAAAAATTACAGTCATATTCCTATAAGGGCACCCAAAATACAAATAATAAGAAAAGACAACAATACCCCTAAAGCCAAATGCACATTCTCAATACTCCCCCTCGAGTTGAGCATGGATATCTATCATGGCCAACTTGCTCAAGTTTCTATCAAGTTTTGACTTGTTGAGACCCTTAGTAAGGCAATCAACAAGTTGGTTCTCTAACCTAACAAAAGGCAAACATATTTCTCCATTAGCTATCTTTTTTCCAATGAAGTGCTTGTCAACTTCAATATGCTTTGTGCGGTCATGTTGAATAGGGTTATGAGAAATGTTTATGACAACTTGATTATCACAGTGTAGCATCATTGGGGTTTCAACTTGGATCCCAATCTTTGATAACAAAGGCTTCAACCATAGCTCTACATTTAACTTCAACATTAGATTGAGCAACAACAGATTGTATTTTTCTTTTCCAAAACACAATATTACCTCCTACTAAGGTGCAATAACCGAATGTGCATCTTTTATCATCTATAGAATCTTCCCAATCAGCATCAGTATAAGCCTCAACCTTGGGATGCCCCTGGTTAGAGTATAACATTCCTCTACCTAAACACCCCTTTAAGTAGGTAAGAATCTTGTTGATAGCCTGCATATGTGAAGTTCTAGGACTGTGGATATATTACCTTACCATGCTAACAACATAGGATATATTAGGTTGACTCAGGCACAAGTAAAGAAGCCATCCAACAAGCCTCTAGTAAACACCCTTGCCTGGAAGAATATCTCCATCATCAGTACTCAGTTTRTGGGTGGAGTCAATAGGAGTTTCAATTGGCTTACACCTCAATTTCCTAACCTCATGAAGGAGATCAAGGACATACTTCCTCTATGAAATAAATATCCCTCCCTTCAACCTTGCCACTTCAATTCTAAGAAAGTATCTAAGATTCCCAAGATCTTTGATTTCAAATTCAGAAGCAAGGAATGACTTTATTTGATTTGTCCTGGAGTGATCATCTTTAGTGACAACAATATCATCCACATACACTATCAACAAAGTGAGTAGGCCATTAACCCTTCATATAAACAAAGTATGGTCTACTTGTGATTATGCAAACCCAGTTCTAGGAATAGCCTTCYTAAATCTATCAAACGAACCTCTAGGGGATTGTTTAAGTCTATAAAGAAATTTTTTTAAACGACAAACCTTCCCCTCACTGTTGGGTAAGATTACCCCTAGTGGTTAATCCATGTATACCTTCTCCTAAAGATCTCTATTTAAGAAGGAATTTTTCACATCCATCTAATATAGAGGCCATGAATAATGAGCATCAAGAGACATAATAACTCGAATATAGTTCATTTTGGCTACAGGAGCAAAGGTCTTTTGATAGTCAACCCCATATGTTTGGGCATATCCTTTTGCCACCTAGTTTTGTATCTTTCAATTAATCCATCAGCCCGATGTTTAATGGTATACAGTACCCACTTGCAGTCCACTAGGACTTTGCCTTCAAGAAGAGGAACAAGCTCCCAAGTGTAGTTTTTTCAAAAGAGCCTCTATCTCTTGGTTCATAGAATCCTTCCATTGAGGTGACTACATTGCATTTGAAACATTATGAGAAACAGAAATAGAGGAGATAGCAGTAACATAGGCATGATAGGAAGGTGAAAGAGCATCATAAGAAACATAGTTAGTGATGGGGTAGGTAGTGCATTTCCTTTTTCCTTTTCTAACTACAATGGGAAGGTCAAGGTCAGATTGTGAGACATCATGCTCAATAGTAGTAGGAGAACGAGGTTTAGGGTTGCTTTTAGAGTTACCTACCAAGTGATTTGATTGTTCTGGACATTCAACCTTAAGAGTATCCTTCCTTCTACGCCTTATAAACCATTGTTGCCATGATCGCTAGAGGGAATAGGAGGAGGAGGATAAGTAGGAACAATGTTACTACAAGGGGAAGACAAACTAGGAATGCCCATAGAGGTAGGAATAAGAAAACAAAGAAGTTTGATCTTCACAAATACTCTCCCCTTGAAGAGGACGTGTGGACTGAAAATATGGAGTAGACTCAAGGAATGTAACATCCTTAGATGTATACCTTCAACTAGTATGGGGACCAAAGCACATGTATCCCTTTTGGACTAGAAAGTAGCCCAAAAATATGCATTTAATAGATTTAGAGTCAAGTTTCAAAAAATGACTCATT